TGAATTGTCGGTAGGTTACCTGTAACAATTATAAATAAGTAAAAGACAAAAAAATAAAAATTAGAAATTTTAGCCTGAAGATACAAAATTTGGACAAATCTGATATATTTTGTATGGGAGATACAATCTCTGAACTAAGTCGAACATCCACTGCTTATCACAATAAAAACGGAAACACTAACATTGGAGAAAAAAGGTCTATATTGGAGAGAAAATTTATGAACAATATGCAATGTTTTTTTATTTGGAAAACAACCCATGCACCATAACTAATGTGTACAAAAAGGAGCAAAACCGGCTTACATAAAAACGTAAAGATTACCATACGAACAGAAAACAGAAATCACTCAAAAAGTAGACAGAATGCTGAAGGATGGAATCATTACAAACACAGTATCAGAATACTCGTTACCACTACTTATAGTACAAAAGAAAAACGATGACCATGGAAACAAAAAATGGAGGGTAGTGGCAGATTACAGGCAATTTCCACTACTTACCACACATAGAAGAAATTCTAGACACTTTATCAGGGGCAACATACTTTTCTCATTTAGATTTATATCAAGCATATTACCAAAACGACAAAATAACATATAAACTAGAAGACAAGATATTAGTTAAGAATAAGTCCAATTCAAAATCATTCCACCTAACATTATTATAAATAAAAATGATACACACAGTCATTCATAAGAATAATGTTAAACTATATAGTGACTGAATTAAAAGAAACAGTGATAAAACTTTGTTATACTATATACTACAGTTGGACCTAGTTAAGCAGAAGTCGTCCAACCCAAAAAAGTGATTATCAGCAAATTGAATTTAAAAAGTCTGTAATGTGCTCTAATTAGATGATGCCTATTTGATTGGTATGCTGTTAATTTTAACATTTGAAATTAATTTGTTAAACACTTTCTTTGCATATTTTTTATCTTTTTTATGATTTTCATTCTTTAGTGTTTGGTACAAAGCCATGGCCAGAAATCAAGGATATAGTTTTTGAATTAGCGCTGGCTTAAAGGAAACTGGCAATTAGCAGTGGTATTTTAATAATGCAGTGCTAACCTTTACATAGGTCAGACCACAAAATTTTCAGCATTATATGCTAGGTTATCTGCATGTCTTAATATATAGGTACCAACCTCCTTCACTCCTCTCCCATTAGTTCCTTCAAGCTATACATAAAATAAGTTTTATTACATAACATCTGCATGCATAAACATATGTTTATTTAATATTGAATAGCTTCTGGTGTACAAGCAGTTTTCGGTGTTCCTTCCATAGAATATTTATAATCGTTGGAAGTTTGGAAGATATATCGTCGGTGCACTGCCACACCCACGAATGTGCAAAATTTTCATTTTTCACCTAAGTACACCACTAATAATGTCCCATTCATTCCTACACTCCGCTGCAACCACGAATGTAATTGAAGGCTAGGAGATGGTGGGAATGAAATGCGCACTTTCACGAAAGTCAGTCTGTATTAGTAGTGATTAAGTTAAACTACGACATGCGTATCGCGAAAATGACACTTAAGTGTTTGTGGCGGTGTGGATTTTGGATTTAGTTTACATTCGTTGTATTGTTTCTACTAGACACTACTTGATAAACAAAAGAAAAAGAGAATCACTAGAAACATTGAAAATTCAAGAAGAACGTATACTATGAATTACTCGTTTACTGTCAATGGGGAAAAAAGGCAAGTATACGGGCCTTTTTTTATGGCTACACTGAATGTAACAGATGCGTTTATGCGCGGAGCTGTGGCAAAGCTTTCTTCTAGCGGCGTAGTTGAAAGAGAAAATCGCGGAAACATGTCCCACATAATAAATTGAAAGATGATGATGAACTGCTGATTCGTGAGCACATTCTATCATTTCCAGCGGTGGAGTCGCATTACTGTAGGGCCTCTAGTACCAAAAGGTATTTGGATTCTGCACTAAATGTCTCTATTATGCACAGATTGTACAAATTAAAGTGCTCAGAATTAAATGTCCATCCAGTTTCTTTCGAAAAATATTGACGAGTATTAAGAACTTATAACTTGAGGTTCCATAAACCAAAAAAGGCCACTGTAAAAGTGCTTAAAATATACGAATTTGACAGAGGAGGAAAAAATAACACACGGACAGGCTCATCACGAATACATGCTAATTAAGCAATTAGCTCGTGAGGCTAGAGACGAAGACAAAGAAATTTCAAAGAATAATCCAGAGGTACTATCGTTTAACTTTGACCTCGAAGCAGTGCTTACGACTCCAAAGGGTCCAACAGGAGAAATATTTTACCTACGAAAATTGGATATTTACAACCTGACTCTCTACAACTTAGGGAATCAAGATGGAATCTGCTATCTTTGGGACGAAACCCAAGGAAAAAGAAGGTCAAACGAGATATCCTCGTGTATTTACAATTACATTATCAATCAACCAACCATTACTGAGGTTCGAATGATGTCGGACGGGTGTGGCGGGCAACAAAGAAATTCACATTTTGCTGCTATGTGCTTGAAACTTCTTACGGATCATACTAATTTAAAAAAGATTGATCACAAGTTTTTTGAAACAGGGCATACTGAGATGGAGTGTGATTCACTCCACTCGAAAATCGAACAAAAATCAAAATATGTCCCTGTTTATTCACCAGAAGGTTGGGCTCAGATAGTAAGAAATGCTCGAACACATCCACATCCATTTGAAGTCAGATTCATAATGTTTGATGACGTCTTTGATTTCAAATCCTTTGGAATACAGAACTATACATTAAACCAAATTCCTTGGCAACAAGTTTGCTGGTTACGGTACATTAAAACCGATGCCATGGTGACAATGTCCTATAAAAAAAATTTTGGAGGTGAATTTCAACAAGTAAACTGCATGATAAGTCGTGGTCGACCCAAAAACGTTGACTTGAAGAAAGCTTATGATAAGCAGTTGTCAATTGCGATTGCTAAATATAAAGATCTGCAGAAAATGTGTAATGATTTAACAATTCCAAAGAACTATCATAACTGTTATAATTCTATAAATGCCGATAAAAATATAAAGGACAATTTACCGGAGCCAAATGAAAGCGAGAATTCAGACGAGAATTAAATTATTCTAAAAAAATGAAGTCTTTTACTAAGTATGCTATTACTTCTATCTTTTTTATTGTTATTATTTTTCATTATTAGAAGGTACTTTTTGTTCCACTTTTACCATAATAAAGGTTGATATAATTTCATGTATATGCATTTTATTACAAAAACTACAATGCCGCAATCATGAATGTAACTTTTTCTGAAAAATAATGGATATTTTCGAAAATCTCTCATAATATTTCTAAAATATAACCATAACATCTGATATTAAAAGTACAAAACAAATGTCGCATTAAATCCTGAATTTTGTCAACTAATTGAAAGTTTAAAAGTTGAATATCTCCTAACGCTCATTTTGCACATTCGTGGGTGTGGCATTGCACCAACGATATTATTTTGCTAATCAAGTACTTATATCTACTGGAATCATGGAATGGAACCATGGTGAATCATAGAAAACTATTGTTAAGGAGTTTTTTTATATAATATTAAAGAAAAAAGAACTTAAAACAATTCACTGTAATTTAACTCCCCCTTAATTAAAAAGTAAATTACAATATATAATACTTAAACTAAGCTATAAGGGGTGGAGTTGGTACTTACATCATTCACATTAGGGACCACTGTGTAAGCTTAAGGGCTTGTATAAAATACCAGTAATACCTAGATATGCCTCAAATAGAATCACTATTTGAGGCATGTCTAGATAATAATTAAATTATGTAATGATCATGCATCAGATAGTTTTATCACCCAATATGAGGTTTTAAAATAAAGAAGCTCCTCTAACTTACCTCAACATAAGTTGTATCTATTCTTCAGATATCATTTCACTATTTGCTTCCTTCCCACTGAACAAACTCACATAAATACTTGCCCCTTCCTGTCTAATAATTTTTTTGGCATAAAAATTAAACACAAATGAATAAGAGGAAATGGAGAAGTAAAGTGAGTAAAATATATTTTATCAATCTAGTTCTGAGATTCACATTAGTAATTATCTACTAAAAATTGTTTTAACATATTAGCTAAATACAAACTGTAAAATAATACAAAGTGGTTTGGACGATTTCTGATCATAATTGTATGTTTAATATTTACATTAAAAGTAATAGATAGAAAATGTACAACCCACTTGAAGATTTTTAATCCCAAAAAAACCTATTTTTAGACAATCAAGAAGTGTTGAAATGATTCAAATCACTAGCATTATCTAACTGTTATTTTAATAAGGCTACTGAAATCAATTTATATTGTTTAGAAAACGCTCAAACCACTTATAACTTATTATGAATATTAGAAATCTGAGTTATGTATGAGTGTGGATTAGATTTTGATCATTTTAATATAAAGAAGTAGTGTTGTCACTTGGAAGATTTCTGCAGATTACAGAAACAGAAATTTTGTAGTATATGGTATTAACATCTCATTTTCATCAATTGGTAGGTTGGATGTTTTCTGCTTAACTACATTCAGTTAATGTTAAGACATAAAATTGCAAAATTCTAATAACAGTATGACTCCAAGAGTCAGTATGTCCTCCAATATATGCTTTACAGAAAAATCAGTATCTATGTAGATAATTAAAATGTGAAACTATGTCCAAAGGGAAGCTTACATACTGGTTAACTGATCCTGACAAAATACCAGATTTAATAGACTTTTCTTAGAAATATTCTTAGGAATTACATAAAAATTGAGAATGTGTGTGATATAAGCTCAGGTGTCATTCTGAGAACTAAAATTTGATTAATCTGTCAGTCCCAATATGAACAAGAGAACAGTTAGATGAGGAAGTAGAGGTACTAACTGAAAACATACAAACCACTGTTTGGAATAATACGTCAGTAATTACGGTTTTACGCTAGTATGCAGGCTTTACTGAAAGCATATTATAAATATTGCTTACCTGTGCGCGACCTTCTGCTTCAACAGTTTCATAAATCTTGTATAATCGTGCAGTAAAATCATCTGCTTCTATAACATCTTTAAAACACTGTTTAATAAATGCATCATTGTTGGTTATATTGTGTAAAAGTTCTTGTAAAATACTTTGTAGATTTACTACTTTGTTAAATTCATTTCGTGGGAATCCTGAAGGAAATAAAATAAATGGAGATATTTGCACTGTATCTTCATTATAATTCGTCTTGGATCTCATAGAAATGCCATGCATTATGGTCCATTCTTTTGCTTTAGTAACAATTCCTTTGAGTTCGTCTTCAGGAAATGGTACTGGTACACAACCAGGTAATATTTGAACATCGTTAGACATTATTTAACTTATCTTTTAGATACTAAATATAAAACTGTTTAATAATCCTGACTGACAAGTTAAAAACGATATTATTAATATGAGATACTGTTTGGAAAATATGTAACTAGTTTATAAAAAATAAAATTGGGTAGAAGGATAAAAAGTTCTTATTCTTATTCAAAATTTTGGAAATAAATTAACTATTTTGTTGTGATTGAGTAATACTTGTCATTAAAACTAGCTGATGAGTTGATGACAGCTATTAGGTTAGCCACCACCTGATGATCAAAGTCCAATTTAAGAAAAGATGAGAAAAGGGTTGTTTACCGAAGTACAAGCTGAATATAGCCGCAAATGTCAAAAATATTTTGGGTTGGCAGCGTTGGCATGTTTTTATAACTATAGGGCAGGCAATGACGTATTATCATCGAGCAAAAAGTTAAAAGAGGGAATCTAATCGTTATGAAAAGGAGACCAAAAAAGTGGCCTCTGATGGCGGACATATCCGGAAATGCAAAGGCGCTAAATTTAAATTTTCCAACACTTATTAACAATAGCTATAAAATATTTTTCAGACGAGAAAGTTTTAATTAAATATTAACTATAATAGTCTAAAAAGTGACACAATTGGTAAAAGATTTCAATATAAATAAAATTTCATGTGACAGTTGGGACAAACAATAACATAACCTAACTAAATTTGACTTCTTAAACAAGGAAAGAGACTGTCTATCCTTGTCTAAAGTGGCCTCTCAAGATGGCACTTCCTGTCTATCAATATTTTTTTTTTTTTTTTTAGATACTGTTGGATTCGTCTGAACTATAACGTTGGAATGTTGATAAGGTTAGTTCAGGCGCCTACCAACTAAACTCACCCTCTCTTCCAGCAGCGCACCCGGAACTTTTCTTGGCGAATGCAACTTCGGGAGCACCACCGCGGTCTCCAATTTTCACGAAAACCTAGTATAGTCCTCGGTAGAGAGTCTCAAAGGTAGCTGAGTGACATAATGACAGTATAAAAAAAACAATATAAGTAAATAAATAGGACAGTTACACTATAAAATTAGTACAGAACGCTGAAGTATGTGTCTAATGAGCAAAAAACGCGAATTACAATTATTTTATTAGTCTTTCAGCCTATTCCTTCATCCTGTCTCGCTCTTTCTAGCGTCTCCTTTTTTTTATGATTTCCGTTATTATTTCTAACACATAATCATAGTTCTTTCTGTTCTGCATAGCTAAGTCCAGTATATTATTGGGCGTGGCCTCTCCTAGCTTAATTCTCAGTCTTTGACGTTCTTGTAGAAAGACATTACATTCGAAAATGCAATGTTCCGCGTCATCAGTCACACCACAATCCATACAGATATCGTCATTTGTTTTTTTAATTCTGTATGTATACGACCTAAAAGAGCCGTGTCCGGTCAGGAATTGTGCAAAGAAATAGTTTATTCTCTTGAACCTACATTTGTACCATGCTTTTACATCGGGTATTAGTATTTTAGTCCATTGTGCCTCCCATTCAGATTGCCATTCATCAAGGATCTGGTTCCTAATTTCGTCTCTTACCTGTGTCAGGTGGCCGTTGCCGTTATTGTATATGATGGCTCTTTCTTTCGCTAGGAGGTGAATGGGGAGCGTACCAGCAATCACCTGTAAGGCTATCGTAGATGTAGTCCGGTACGCACTAACTACTTTAAGAAGGGGCTTTCTTTGAGCTTTTGTAATCAAGTCTTTGTACCTGGCAAACCTTAAGACTTCAATCCATACGGGGGCACCGTACAAAAGGGTCGAATGCACTATTTGCAAGTACATTCTTCTTTTATAATTACTTGGCCCTCCTATATTAGGCATTATTTTCATAATGGCCGCTGTTCTGCGTTCTGCTGCTTGGACTACATTTATCAGGTGTTTGGTAAATCGTAGACCTGTATCAAGGTGTATGCCTAGATATTTAGCACAATTGGTTGGGACTATCGTCGTACTTGCAAATTGGAAAGTCAGGTTGGGTATCGCTCTAGGCCCTTTTAATATAATTATCTCTGTTTTATTACACGCCAGCTGTAAGTCGTTAGTTGTCATCCACCTATTAACTTTTCTCCAGCATATATTAACTTTATTTATTGCATCCAAGTTTGTGTCACCCTCTATTAGTATTGCTAAGTCATCTGCATATGCAATTGCTGACGCACCTCTGCCGTAATCTATTTCCAATACTGTGTTATACAAGACGTTCCACAACGTTGGACCTAATACAGATCCCTGCGGTACTCCAGCCGATAGTTTTGTTTTTTCTTTGTTTGCCACTTTAATATATCTGTCGGTGAGGTAATTTTTAATTATATTTATTAGGTAGTCTGACACTCCAGCGGTTTCCAGTTTCCTTATGATGTATGCCCAATTGGCAGAATTGAAGGCATTCTTTACATCGAACATAACAAGGATTGCCCATTTATTTCTTGTTTGTTTGACTGTATCACATATAAATTTTACCGCGTCTATAGCTGATCGTGTTTTTCTAAAACCGTATTGCTGGTCAGAAATAGCTCCTGTGTTTAAGAGCTCCTGTTCAAGGCGGCGTTTTATGAGGCTTTCATAGAATTTCCCAATACAATCTAATAAACATATAGGCCTGTATGAACTAGGCCCGTCTGGTGGTTTACCAGGTTTTAAGATTAAGACTAAATTTGCAATCTTCAATTGGTCTGGGAATTCTTGGTTGTGTAGGAGCTCATTTAATACCTTTCTGGTGACTTCAGGATTTTCCTGTACCATAATATGTATGGCTTCTGGTGGCACACCATCTGGGCCAGGGGATCTCCCGATTTTTATGTTTTCGGCAGCTAATCTTATTTCATCTATGGTGAACTCGTCAGGTCTATTATCTAGAGTATATGGTAGAAATTGGCATTCGGGCTTATTAGCAAAAAGGGCTTTCGCAATTTCCTTTCTTTTTTCTACACAAAGGTTATATAGAGCCTCGGACCTCAGTGTCTTAGTGGCAATTTTATAGGCTTCACCCCATATATCGTTGTCCAACGTGTCACACAGGTTCTGCCAGCATGTGCGTTTAGCCCGCTTTATTTCTTTATTTAGTTCTTTCTTTACGCGCTTATATTCTTCCAAGTTTTCTTGGGTCCTGTTCCTTTGTGCTATTCGCCTGACTCTGAAACATTTTGTTCTTTTAAGCTGTATCTCGTCGTTCCACCAATAGGGTACAGTATATGTGACACATTTTTCCTTGCTGCTGCTTCTGTATGCATGTATTAGGTTTTTATGGTAGTTTGTGAAGTTAGTAGCTTCTTCTCGTAGGTTGCTAATTTTATTTTTAAATAGGTCTTTGTTAAAACTTATCTTTTTCCTACCGCTCTTCGTGACCTTGATGCCAATCTCGTAAACAATATATCTGTGAAAAGTAAAAATGTTTTCGTCAAGAACGTCCCAGTTAGATATTTGATTGGCATAACTTTCGTTTACGAGGGTAATGTCTATGTGGCTTCGGCTTTCACCCCGGACAAAAGTAGGTTTTCCATTATTTAGCGCTGTTAGATTGGCCGTAGAGATCCATTCGTTCCATAAATCTCCTCTATAGTCATTTCGTGGGGAACCCCATAAGATAGATTTAGCATTTATGTCGCCAGCGACTATAAAATTCTTTTCTATATGTGACATTTGTATTATGGATTCAATGTGCTGTTTGTATTGATCTCTACCTATGTTGGGTGAGATATAACAGGCAATAATAGCTACTTTTTCTAATTTGATTAGTACGTGCCCCTCCCCTTTTATAATCTTATTTATGCACACTTTATGATTTATGGGGTATATTGCTACATCTTCCCTGTTGTCTGCAATCCATCTGCTATTTTGGATGATTCTCTTGTTTGGTTCAGGTACTATTAGAATATCTGCTCCAATTTCGAGGGCTTTCGCATGAATCAGATCATGTGCAACCTTGGCTCTTCCGATGTTCACTTGTAGAATTTTTAGTCTTTTTAACCCGGTTAAAGCCATTTTGAAATCATTACCTTAGTATCATGTGTTAAGGGTCACATAGGATGACGGAACAGGCACTTAGACTGAAGTTGTCAGGACTCCCTGTGACAACGTCACTACACTAAAGGTAGCTGTAGCTTCGTCGCATAGAGATTTGGAGGACTCCAAAAGGGAGTATATATAGACTACGCACTTACCAATGACGTATAATATATAGACTACGCAGTCCCCTATTCTCGCTATAGAATCGAGTGTCCGAAAGATCTCGGCTCAAGGTTGAAGGTATGTTTATTACAACAGCGGCGTGTTCATTTATATGTTTAATGACAATAATTATTTTTTTAATTAAAATTAAATATTTATGATTTCTTTTTGCTCCCGTCTATAAGAGGACTAATTATATTGATAAAATAGTATGGCATTTTACTAAAATAGTAAGTAAATAACTCTCAACAATTTAAAATAAAATTTGCTTGTCACACAAAATGGAGAAAATGTTTTCATACGTCCATGATGTTTTCAAACACAAGATCAACTTCGTGATGCTTCGTAAGAAATCATGAACTTCGTGCATCTTCGTATCAAAACAATAAACAATAACAAAGGTATTCATGTTTTGGACACTTTTTAAAGCGTTCACCGAGTCTATATATTATACGTCATTGGCACTTACCATCGAGCAATAAGACAAAAGAGGGAATCTAATCGTTATGAAAAGGAGACCAAAAAAGTGGCCTCTGATGGCGGACATATCCGGAAATGCAAATGCGCCAAATTTAAATTTCATGACACTTGACAATAATCATACAGTGGTGTAGGGGTTCTAATTTATCTATTTATTTATTTTATATTACATACTATTTTATATTATATATTTATCTATTTTTTTTATTAAAATTATTTATTAAAATACTCTTTTTAACACTATAATAGTCTAAAATGTTAAAAAAAATTCAATAGAAAATATAAATATAAGCTTTCATGTGACAGTTTTGTCAAACAATAACATCAACAATAACATAACCCAACTAAATTTGATAAAAGATTCTCTATCCTTGTTTAAAGTGGCCTCTCAAAATAGCACTTCCTGTCTATCAATATGTTTACCCCCACTACCTTTACATTCTCTCTTTTGTCTTATTGCTCGATGGCACTTACGTAGTCCCCTATTCTCGCTATAGAATCGAGTGTCCGAAAGATCTCGGCTCAAGGTTGAAGGTATGTTTATCAGAACAGCGGCGTGCTCATTTATATGTTAATGACAATAATTATTTTTTTAA